GAGCAACAAAAAATTCCCACCCTTGTCCAGGACCCAGTGGAATCAGAGTGAGGTCCATCTGTATTCTTACATTATATTTTGGTTTGCTTGTGTTTGTAATAAAAACTAAGAGGACCATACCTTACTTTCAGTGATTGTGGTTGCAAAGTCTGGAATGAATCTGTTCCCAGATCAGTGGCAGCTGCAGTATCTCCAGCCCTTGCCTCTTGTGTCTGTCTCCCCAGCTAGTTAGCTGCGTCCTTGCTGCCCAGTTTTGTGGAAAGTAGACTTTAACTCACTCTTTGCTCTTCCATCCCATTCCATTCCATGAGGTCTTTACCTGTCCTACATCCATAACATTTGCAAAAGAAATGAAAGTAGACCTTAAGAGTTTGAGGTGGGAGAGATGGAAAAGAGGACTCAGCTGCCTGGAGCAGTGGAAAGCTTTTAAAGGATTTTTCTCCTTTTTTTTGTTCAGGGTGTTTTCCCAAGTCATCCAGTTAAATTAACTCATCCTGCACCTGCAGTCACTTGGTCCCATTCAAGGGAGCACGGGCACAGACGGTGGCAAGGAGCAGGACTCCCCTCTCAAAGGCTCCTCACTGCTAAGTGAGCATGAAGTTGCTACTCCCCGTGCTTGGGTCACCTCACTTCCTTAACCAAAAAAAAAGCCAAACAAAACAAAAAGAGAACATAAGAACATCCACCTTTTGTCCTTCTTCTCTATTTTGTAACTGGGAAAAGAGAACCAAAGAGAATGTCAGTGTCACTCTTTTTTGTGGTCACTTGGCAAGGCACTTGTGAGCCAGGAGTATGACACAGGGTGATGCAGAGGGTCCAACTTCCTACCTAAAAGGTCAAGGAAAACTGGAGATGTTTTCTCCAAGGTTTCAAAAATGGAATATAATAATATTTTTTCCCTGAAGATACTAAATTCCCGTAATAAACAGAAATAATAGTTACAGTATTTCAGTCCAATTTTAGAGATGGGGAAACTGAGGCAAAACTTTGGATCTACACAAAATCCCACAAGCAACCTATGTCAGATGCACACCCTCATCCCCCTCCTCTGTTCCCCCACTTCATGCTTTGAAACAGCTGTGAACTCCTTTCATCTGAATAAGGATGTCAGGAGACATTGGTTTGGCTTCTAAGTGACACCAGCGAGCACATATTTGAAATCAGAAAACACAAGGAGCACAAAACTTGCAACCACCAACACAGGCTGAACTCCTTTTTTATAGTACAATGATTTTCATTTTTAAAAAATTATTATTTTTTTAAAAAAGTTCTAATTCTGTGAGCGTGTCCCCCCAACACTTTAACCTGTACTACCCAAGCTGCTGTCTGCAAGGTGCTAGTGATAAGCAGCCAGGCAAAGTGGCTGTGTCTGTATGAGTAATTCAGCTGAGCCCTGAGGGCACCAAGCTGGTTTGCATCCATACACCTAAACTCCAATCAGGGTGGCATCATCCAGCTCTGCCCTGGGACTCATCCCTTGCTCCAGCTCTGACTCAGGCTAAAAGTTTCAGGTAAAGACATGAGAGTTGAGAAAATTGTGCTCCGGTGCCCGGGAACATTGCCATTTGTTTCAGCGACATGGCTTGCGTTTTCCATCACCCCAAATTATCGTATGTCCAGCAGCCACCGAATGCTCCAGGACCTGCTATGTGACACAGACTGGCAGGACCATGGAGTTACTGTGGATTTCTGTAGGCGTCAGTGCTGCTGGTTATAACCATCAGGCTCCCAATCCAGGCAGCCTGCTAACTGCTACAAAGCACCCAGGAACAGGCAGTCCAGCCTCCCCTGGGAGCTGGAGACTCACAAGGAGACTCACGGACACATGGAGGAATCAATTTTCTTGGACTCACTGGGTGGAGACCTCCTCCGCTGTGTCTAGCAGGGGACGCAGACCCGGGCTCTGCCACTGTCTCACCAAACATCCCCTTTCAAGCCACCTCACCACATTTCCCATTTGCAAAGTGTTTTGAGATCCACAGACAAAAAGGTCATGGAAGAGGAGAAGAGGATGGCTTTTCTTACTTGCACAACTCTGCGGGGGGTCAGCCACACAGACAGAGTGAAAGCATCCACAGTGAGGGCTCGGGGGTACGTCATGGGGACTTCTAATGCAAAGCAGTGCAGTTCAGCTGCCTAAAACTAGCAATTAAAAAAGAGAACTAATGTAAATCAAAAGCTATTTCCAGCCTGCTGCAGCGTGAGCACTGCATTTCCCTCAAACAACCCCCGGTCACCAAACGTAGGCATCCTCCAAAGCGAACGGGCCAGCGGCATCCCCGCCGAGGACTACAGCTCCCAGGAGCCTGCAGCCCAGGCAGCGCCTGCGCGGGGGCCAGCAGCCGGGCAGGGGTACCGGCAGGGAGGCAGCGCTGGCTGGGGATCCCCCCCCACCCATGCCCAAGAGGTTTTAGGGCTGCTGTTTCCTACCCCCGAGTCCTTTTTCTCCCTGACCCAGCTCCTCTTCCTCCGTCTCTCCTCCCCCGGTAGTTTTTACATCTCTGACACAGCCTTCCTGTGAGTCAGCACCAGCAGACATGAACGAAGTAGTTGGAAGATGAAGAAGAGCACAAAGTAGATAGAAATAAGAAAATTTGGCCAGTGACACTTGGACACTTCCAGATCCACATGCTGCTGGGTGAGATGGGAGACAGGTCAGTAAACGGCTGAGCTGGGATGTCTGGGGCCAGGACGGGATGCTCAGGGCTGAACCCCTCCATGGTGTCTGCATGTGTCCCACAGCATCCCGGGGCAGCGGCAGGACATCTCTGGATGTTGGGGGTCACCGCTGCAAAGGTTTGTCAAGGTTGGCTGTGGTGAAGCAAACTGTCCCAGCTGGAATAAATCACCTTGCTTGTCTTTCTCAGGCTGAATCCTGCCTGAGAGATCTGGCTTGCTCCTCTGGCTGGAGGCAACCGGTGGAGTCAGAGGTACAGGTGGTCCTGCTCGGTGTGGGAGCAGGGGGCTTGGCTACAGGCAAGGAGAGCAACAGCAGCACAAGACGGGAAGGAGTGTTGGTCCTTTAAAATCTGCCTAAAAACGATGCTTCTGGGGTGTCTGTGTGACAAGTGCTTGCAGGAGTGATGGAGGCATGGGTGGGAATGAGTTAATAGGTCCAGCCTCCTCCTTGCAAGGAGGGGCTGTGCCTGCCTATTGCCTGTGCCTGTGTGTGTCTGAGGGTGCTGGGGGGGGTTATTCCCAATGAAAGGAGCAGAGCAACAGCTGAGGAGCTGCTCACGTTCCTGTGTTTCACAAGTGAAATGCAGACAGCTGTACTGACGTGCAGCCACCTCTGGGAAAAACAGCCCAGCACACAAAACAGCCAGAGAGAAAAGTTTGCCCCGAGTCATCTCTGGGCTCAGAAAAGTTGGTCGCCACAGAGAGTAAAAGCAACCTCCATTTCTCAACCTGAACGGTTCCCAGAGAACATCTCACCCAACACCCTTTCTTGGTGAGAAAGGAGCAGAGGTGCTGCAAATGCCTTGGATGCCTGCTGGGATGGCTGGATCAGGATTCCCTTTCCTCAGCTGAGGGGTTGGGCGGGGGCTTCTCAGGACACCTCATCACTTTGGGGCACTTGGGAGTCAAGGAGCAGGGGAGGAGAGAGTTTTGGTTGGCTGGACCACCATCAGAGACCCCTCCCCAGGAGCTGCTCCAGATAAGTTCTTGGGGCAGTTTGGTGCTGGTTCTCCCATGAAGAAAGTCTATGGCAAATGGGGTTCTTCTTCAGCCTGGACTTTTCATGCAGATGGGTCAATAACGCTGATGGTGTTGTGGCTGCACCCTTCATGGGTCAGGCGTGACAACCTGCAAACTGAAACTGGCACCAAGGCAAAGCTGGACCTTCAGCAGTCCAACCGCAGGGCAATGGGACGGGGTTGGGTCCTTGCGGTCCTCCTGGCCCCCAGGAGGACTTCTCCGACCATTCAGATGTCTTCCTGGCCACCAGCCCCAATAGCCTTGCATAGGCTCCGGTGTCTGCCCTGGTGCTGCACGGGGAACTGAGGACATCGGTATGAGTTTCACTTCTGCCTCCAGCCTGTCTGGCTGCAGCTGTGACCCAGATGTCCCTGTCCGCTCACTGAGGTGGACGTGACACAAAATCTCTAGAGAAATAAATGGGCAGCTGCTGAGGGATGGGAACCCCACGGGGTTCGCATAGCCAGATGAGCCTCAGACAATGCTCCATCAGTTCTGTTTCACAGATACGAGATTTCAGTGCTGTCTGGAGGCTGGGGAGTGGCAATGTGATATGTCCCAGACACGAGCAGCTGCTTGCTCATCCTCCACTTTTCCCCTTGTGGTCCCACAAGGTCCCTCTCTGCCAGTGCGCTGAAGGAGGTGCAGATGATCTCAGTGACCACTCTTCACATGGGATGTATCTGGCCCTGGCCCTGGCCCCAGCCCCTGGTCTGGTCATCCTGGCTCAGAGCAGGGATTGCACCACCCCAGGGATCCTCCAGAAATGGATTTGGGTGTGCCCCTCACGAGAGGCATTTACTTCTAGAGGTGCTGATGACCATGAGTTGGTCCCTGACGGTTGTGACCACCAGCCTTTACCACCCCTCTGAAGGAAAAGTGGTGTTGGTTCCTGCTCAGAGATCAGCCCCCCAAATCACCAGTTTCTTGTCATGAGTACCTGGAGATGTGGAGAAACTCCAGCCTATGCCAGGCAGTTCCAGCAACCCCCTTCAATCCCTTCCTAGATTTTACAGACTCCTGGCCTTTGGTTTTACTAGAATTAACTAAGCTTGGCTGGGCTTTTATTTATTATTTTCTTTTCCATATGACAGCTTACCACACTAAAAGTGGTCTGTTTTTTGGGTTTTTTTTTCCTGTTGGCCTTGACAATAACACCGGCCTTGGTTTCTGCTCAGGTTCAGCCCTCATGAAGGAAAACATAGGCTTTCATCTAAAGAAGAGTAACTCAAACCAGTGCTGGCACTTTCCCATGGTCGCTACCTCCCAGCAGCCCTGGCAAGCAGGGAAAGCTGGTGGCAATGGCCAGGAGGACTTCCAGTGATGCTTTCCTAGTGAACACCACCCAGGCCCCCACCTCTGAAGAACCGGGTGATGGAACAGCCAGCCATGATGACGCTGGAGCTCTTGGAGCTCCACTTCTCAGCCACACTCGGGAGAAGTCATACACTTGCGTGATTTGCGGGGACAGTTTTAAGCACAAGGGCATCCTGGTGACCCACCAGAAATCCCATAAGGAGGAGATAGGGCCTGAAGGCTGTGAGAAGGAGGGTGATGCTGACCGGGCTGGAGAGCTGCATGACCAAGAAGCCATCAGAGCTGAAGGGGAGGGCAATGGGGAAGGCCATAGGAAGCACAGCACGCAGAGGGATCCTGAGAGAAAGGAGAAGCCCCATGCCTGCACTGAGTGTGGGAAGAGCTTCAAGATGAAGGTGGACCTCACCAAGCACCTCTGGACTCACACGGGTGAGAGACTGTTCCCCTGCACCAACTGCTTCAAGAGGTTTATCACCAAATCACAGCTCAAGGAGCACCAGAGAATCCACACGGGCGAGCGGCCGTACAAGTGCCTGGACTGTGGGAAGAACTTCACCCAGAAGTCGCACCTCATCGTGCACCACCAGATCTACACAGGTAAGAGGCCCTACCAGTGCAGCAGCTGCCAGAAGAGCTTCGTGGACAAGTCGCAGCTGGTGGCCCATCACCGGATCCACACAGGCAACCTTCCCTTCAAGTGTAGGGTGTGCAGCCGTGGCTTCCGCCAGAAGATCACCCTTGTAAAGCACCAGCGGGTCCACAGCACCAAGGGGGCCCAGCAGGACACCACCGGGGCCATTGTGGCCGAATCCATTCCAGCGGGGGAGAAGATCTTTCACTGTGGCACCTGCGGGAAGGAGTTCAAGAAGAAGTCAGTGCTGGTGACCCACCAGAGGATTCACACCGGGGAGGAGCCCCACCCCTGCCCCTTGTGCGGGTGGTGTTTCCAGCAGAAGATCCACCTCATCCGGCATCAGCAGACCCATGAGCGGTCCGATGCCCACATCTGCGAAGCCTGTGGGGACCACTTTGGCAGCAAGAGGGAGATGCTGCAGCACCACCAGGGCCACCACCCCCAGCAGGCCCCCCACACCTGCACCACCTGTGGAAAGCACTTCAGTGAGAAGATCGGCCTCACGGCCCACCGCCATGTCCATGCGTGGGAGAAGGAGACCCCCAGTGCCGCAGGGGGCGGGCAGCCCCCCACCGCCCTTGGTGGTACCCACGCCTACACGCAGTGTGGGAAGACGTTCACCAAGAAGGGCAACCTGGCCAACCACCAGCAGGCTCATGCCAAGGGCTGGGGTCACTATTGCGGGGCTTGTGGCAAGGGCTTCGCCAAGAGGGGGGAGCTGACCAAGCATGAGCAGACCCACACCGGGGAGAAGCCCTATGGGTGCAGACAGTGTGGCAAGTGCTTTGCCCAGCGCACCCAGCTGGTCACCCACCAGCGCGTCCACACCGGCGAGCGGCCCTACCCCTGCGGTGACTGTGGCAAGTGCCTCGGCAAAAAGTAACGCCTCACCGTCCAATGGCACATCCACATCAGTGACCGGCCCTTTCCCTGCCCCACCTGCGGCAAGGGCTTCCTCCAGAAGATCGCCTTGGTCATGCACCACCGCGTCCATGAGCATGGCAGGGACAAGGGAGGCAGCGAAGACATTAGTGCCACCACCAACGCCAATGCTGACACTGATGCCAATAGCAATGCCAATGCCAATGCCAACACCAATGCCAGTGTCAAGACCAGCACCAACACCAATGCCAATGTCAATGCCAATGCCAAGGTGGCTGGCAAAGATGAGGAGAGCCCGGCTGTCCCCTGTCGGCAGCTCCCCGATGGCGAGCAGCCCTTCTCCTGCCCAGAAGGCCCAGCTGGCAGTCCACCACCGTATCCACACTGGGGAGCGCCCCTTCCTCTGCACCGACTGCCCCAAAGCCTTCATAGACAAGTCCCATCTCGTCGTCCACCGCTGCACCCACACTGGCGAGTGCCCCTTCCCCTGTGCTGCCTGCAGCCGAGCCTTCACCCAGAAGGTTGCCCTCACCACCCACCAGCAGGTCCACACACGGGAGCACCAGCCACCGCCAGCCCCAGTTCCCCTCGGACTCCAGGGTGAGGAGTGGCCCTTCACCTGTGCCGTCTGCGGGAGAGGTTTCCACAAGGAGATCACCCTCATCACGCACCGGCGGGTCCACACCAAGTATGAGCTCAACTGCTGCAGCAAGTGTGGGCAGGTCTTCCCCAACAGGGCCCAGCTCTGGCTCCATCAGCCCTCCCATGCTGAGGACTGGCCATTCAAGTGTGCCACGTGCAGGAAGGACTTCAAGAAGAAGGAGATCTTGATTACCCACCAGCGGGTCCACACGGGAGAGGCACCCTTCCAGTGCGCCCAGTGCAGCAAAAGCTTCTCACAGAAGGCCAACCTCATGAAGCACCAGCTCGCTCACACCTGCCGGGGCCCGTTTATCTGCTCCGGCTGTGGGCAAAGCTACACCACCATTGGACATTTCAAGAGGCACCAGAGGAACCACCTTAAGAAGCAAAGCCCTCCTGGTGAGGGAGAGGAGCCCCCTGAGGACCTGGCGACCGGCCATGTGCCACTGGAGCCAGTGGGTGGCCACAGCAGCCTCATCATCATGGTGAAGACAGAGGCTGATTCTGATGACTATGAGGTCCTACAGGTCCCATGATGGCAAGGATTAAACACTCAGGGAGGGAAGGGCTGATGCCTGCTCGCTTAGGGATGGGGGTGCTGCCCCAGGATCCATGTCCACCAGCAGGATCCATGGTCCCATGGGAGCTGCTCCCCGGGCAACATCTCACGGTATTTGGTGGGAGCCAGGAGTGGAAAACCTGGGAGGATCTGGACTTCAGCACACAGCAATCCCTGAATCAAACCTCAGTCAAAACTGGCTGAGGCAATGTGAAATTTGGGGGGGAGGGATGGATATAAATACATATCTTGGCTTCTTTTTTATATCTTATATAAGAGTACTCATCTCAAGAGGGTTTTTTTTTTTCTTTTTGCTAACAGGAGGGCTGAGAAGCTCAGTTTTTTAAAGCAAATAAATGAAATCTGTGATTTCGGATATATTCACATGACTCCAAGAGCTTGGGCTTTAAAAAAAAAAAAAGGACCAAAAATCTCACCAAACATTACGAGGCTTGCCATGACCGACTTCCTGGCAGGAGTCAGAGCAGACCATCCCTAGCCTTCTAGCAGCTGACACCAGCATCGGCCATCCTGCAGACACGTGGGGTCTGCTACTGTGGAAAAATTGCAGCCAGAAATAAGGGAGGATGTCATGGCCAAAGGACTCGGGGATAGGGACTCCGCTGGCACCTGGGGAAGGGCCACTGAGGTCAGTAACGCTCCTCGTGGAGGGCAAACACCCACCCACGGTTTGCAGAGCCAGAGTAAGAGCCCTGGCTGGGAAATAATGCAGGGTTTATATGAAGACATCATTTTTCCTAGCGTAAAATAACCTCATGCATGGGTTGATTGTGCAGGATAATCCCTGGTTTTATTTATTATGGTCACATTTATTATGGAGTTGAGGGCATTCGTTGCACAGCCACAGTTTCAGAGCAGCTCTTGCGAGGTTGCCAGACCTGTTTCTTGCACCACATGCTCAGTTGCAATGCCAAGATGTGGCTCCTAAACCTGAAGGCGGCTGGTCTGTGCCGTGTACAGCCGCACTGAGGCAGGAAGAAACCCTCTACAGCTGTCCTCTGTGTCACACATTTGCAGTTGTGACCATAGTGTGGCACCAGCAAAAGGTGTGTTTAATTGCTCTGCCAAGAAAAAGAGGCGTTAGGTTGCTCCTAGCACCCCACCAACCCGGGTGGAGTTGGGGGTTGGCAGAGGCTGTTCCCACCACGGGTGTGGATGAGCCTCCCCATGTCTGGTGTGGAGACTCTGGCCTATGGGCTGTGCTGTCCCATAGGACCCCTCTGACCCAGCTTAGCGATGTGGAGGCCACCTCCAAGGTGCACCTCCAAGGCCACCTGGCCAAGCCAACTTGCTGTTCAGAGTGGTTTTGGGGGAGAAGAAGGAAGGGCGTTGCAGGGCAATCACTTAAAGTGCCACTTCAGACTTGCTGGTGGGGTTCAGTTGCTTTTGCAACCTGAACGTGACTGCCAGAGCTCGCTTCAGCGACAGCAAAGAAGGGGGTTCACCACCCCCTCCCCAGAGTTGGGTGCTCCCCGTGCCCAGAGCAGCACCCTCCACCCTCCCGCTCCCTCCTTAGCCACCAGGTTTTGCCTTCGAGGTTGCACGAAGGCGGCGAGGCACACCACCATGTCCATACAATGCTCACTTTCAGTACCCGCAACTGGAACTCAAGTAGCCCCCCCCATTAAAATCACCCGGTGTGAAACGATCCCCTTCCCTCCGTGCCGCTAGCAGCGCTCACCATTGCTGGATCCGGCGTGCGCCCTGCGCTCCCTCCCCCAGTGCAGCCCCTGCTGCTCTAAGTCCTGTCCATTAAATTAATATCCTGCCATTAACTACGGCAAAGAGCTCCGATGCCACAAAGTGACGGCAGGAGCCGACAGAAGGCTTGCAAAAACTGGGCCAGCTTGTCTTCAAACCCCATCGTGGTCACCCGACGAGCCAAGCGGATAGTTACACAAAATAAAGGACCATTTTCATTTTATTCTTTTTTTCCCCCAGTAGATCTGTTTGATCTTGAAGATTTCCTTCAGCATTTCTGTTGTTTTAATTGGCTTTTCTTCTCCTGCATTTGTTTCGCTGGCGGTAAATTCATCAGCCCTAAATAGGTAGACCGATAACAGACCGTGATAATAGTACACTAAACCATTACATGAAAAGCAGGGAATTAAATCGTTCACTGGAAAACAGGCCATGGTGGAAGACTGCTGCTTCCTGAAAGCTCTGTATCCTTTTAAGCTTGCTTTTTTGTGCAAGATGTTCTTGCTCCAGTAATCTTCGCGCAGCTCTGCCCTATTTCTGACAGCGAGCTGGCGCGTAGGCTCAGCCCTCGCTGACTGGTTGCCCCCACCTTGTCCCTTGTTTGGGGATTTTCTCTCAGGAATTAAATGACAATGAGGAATAAATTATCCAGCTCCCCTTTTCTAACTGATCCCGATTTCTTTAACTCACATTATGTCTTGCTAATAATCCCGCTGCACATAAATAAACTTGAGCTGGGGATGATCGGAAAGCGGCTACGTACATCGCACGGCGAAACTTCTGCCCCGATTAGGTGACCGCTTTTCCAACCCGGGGGATTATGAATGATGAGTAACAGATCGTTACTGGAGCACGGATACAAGAAGAAAAGGCTTTGCCTAAGCATCTTTCAAACAAGACCCAGGAGGACAAATAGTAGAGCATGAGCACGGCCTGGCTGGGCTCTCCTTTGGGGAGCAGGAGCAGCTCCGTGTTTACGAGCTGTGGTTGGGCAGTTTTCCATTGGATTTCTAGAAAAGTTTGACTGCCATGAATGGAGATGAATCCTAAGTCTGACAAAGTCTCTCACCTGCAAATCGTCCCAATGTCAAGTAAGAAAATAAAACAGATTGGGAATATATCTCTTTTTCCCTATCTCAGTGGTGGCAGGTCCACCATGCTCTGGGGCTGGCTTTATCTCACCTGAATTCACATCTCTATAGCACAGATGTAAACATCTGAGCCGATCATCCCCCACTGAAAATCAAAGGAGAGAAACGGAGAGATGGAGAAAGTGATTTTTCTGCCCTATTTAGATGTCCACTCTGGGATGAGAGTCCAGGACTTATAGAATCATAGAATCATAGAATCATTAAGGTTGGAAAAGACCTCTAAGATCATCGAGTCCAACCGTCAACCCAACACCACCATGCCCACTAAACCATGTCCCTAAGCGCCTCATCTACACATCTTTTAAATACTTCCAGGGACGGTGACGCCACCACTTCCCTGG